TCGTCGACTACAGAAGAGATTTGAAGGTTTTTTTGCAGAAAATGACGAAGAGCAACAGGAAGTAATAGGATATTCATTATAAGTATCAGTTTATTGCAATTTATTTGGGTAAAAACCACGTTTGTAATTACAAATGTTCTAAAACATTTATGTTTTTCTTTTTATATATTTTATACATTAGTTGGAAAATGAACACTTCTGCAATGTCTATACATGTAGTGAGAAATCACTGTTTTTGCTATTAGAATTGTTCAAAATAAAGATAATTTTGGTAAAATGTTCAAATGTTGTGCTGAAATCGTTTTTTTCTTGTGTGGTTTGAAGGGCATAACAGTTCTGAATTGTTGTTGCAGACCTATAGTGTTTACTCCCTATGTAAAGTGTTTGGGTGCCAGGTGTCCATTTGGAGTCTCCAAATTGCATTTTGGAAAGGACGCCTATACTTTTCTTGAATAAAAGCTTACAGAAGCTACATTTTTGGGAGTATCATCCTCAAATTTGAATCTAAACATGGTCAGACATTCAATTTTATCTTTATGGTGTTTTCAGGCCCTTAACATAAAAGTCTGATCATTTTTTCCCTAAGTGAAGTTAATTAAAAGAAATCGTGAGTCACATTCATGTAAATTTTACCTTGTTTTACTCTGTTCCTATGCTACTTTGAGTAATAATGACTCTTGGGTAACACAGTTTCAAGTGTCTAGTTTAAAAAAAGATCAGAGTTATGAATGTGGACCATAGGGTTTAAGAGCTACAGACATTTGTATTTGGGTATGTCATTTTCAGAAAATTCTCAAAAAATGGGGCGCTGGTTAAGAGGTTAAACAACTTTTAGATGTGAGATGACCGGCTTGTTGTATAAGATTATTAATGAATGTGCCAATGTATCTGTTACTGTAAACAGATGTGCTGTAGATACCAATCGTTTTACAAACCTCATGAAACATTGTCTGTTGTAAGAACTGTGTCAAATGAATGGACAGATTTGATGCGTTTATGCGTTAATGCTGGTGAACCAATTTGTGTGACTATCAGAAAGATTTTAGACCTGATGACTGAATGCGGCAGCTGTATTAGAATAGCTGATATATTGTGCTTGTGTACATATGTGACTGATCTATGTGTAGACATATTGACAAGAAACAATCATGCTGATGTTTGTGAAATTATTGAAACCCTGGTTGATTACATTCTTGAAAAAAACATAGTGATGTGTATAAATTTTTTACACTACATTGATGCTGTATGATACCTTTGTTTCCTTTTACTGTTTAAGAAATAAAAACCCAAATTACTTAAACCATCTGTGTTATTCTTTTTGTGGAGCGTGAAGTGGAAACATGTCAGAAGAAATGAAAAAGACTTATTACACACCTTCTAACCCTGGTTCTTTAGGGGGGAAAAAACGCTTAAAAGAAGCTGTTTTAAAAGAAACGGGTGTTCGTTTAACCGATAAAGAGGTTTCAGACTGGCTCGCTGGCGAGGATGCATATACACTACACAGAACGGCCCCACTAAAATACAAAAGGAATCGGGTTTTTGTCTACGGTATCGACATGGAGTTCCAGGCCGATCTAGTCGATATGTCTGCATATGCCCCGGTAAATGACAACAACCATTTTTTGCTGACATGCATCGATCTCTTTAGTAAATATGCATGGACAAGGGCTTTAAAAAACAAGAGTGGTGTAGAGGTCTCTAAAGCTTTTGAATCCATACTGAAAGAGGGACGCGTACCACAGAAATTACAGACAGATAAAGGAAAGGAGTTTTTTAACAAACATTTTCAAAATGTAACAAAAAAGTACAATATAGCCCATTTCGCAACAGCCACAGAATTAAAGGCATGTGTTGTCGAGCGGTTTAATAGAACCTTAAAAGGTAGAATGTGGAGATATTTAACTGCTACAAACTCCAAACGTTACATCGACATACTTCAAGACATTACACAAGGATATAATGCGAGCCATCACAGAAGCATCAAGATGAGGCCGATTGATGTGGGGAAAGAAAACGAGTCTGTGGTGCTGCATAACCTATATGGTGATACCAGACCTCATAGTGTTAACCCCGTATTTAAATACAAGATTGGTGACGTGGTTCGAATTTCTAAAGTCAGAGGACCGTTTGCAAAAGGGTATGAGGAAAACTACACACAAGAGTATTTTACTATATCAGCGTGTATCCCACGAGAACCCCCTGTTTACAGATTGAGTGATTACGACGGGGATGTTATCGACGGCGTTTTTTATGCGGAAGAATTGCAAAAAATATTTGTCAGTAAAAACAAGACATTTAAAGTTGAAAAAGTGTTAGATAAGAAGACGAAGGGTCGCAAAACATTAGTGCTGGTACAGTGGCTCGGATGGCCAGCGAAGTTCACACTACCCTGCAACGCTTCGCAGTCTGTATACCCTAATAATAAAATCTCTAATTATAGAACAAGACTGGCTACCACTATAAATATAAAAGGAGAATGGGAGGTGGGGCTTGTTCAAATTGAATATCCTAGAAGCTGGTACACCTTTAACAGCAATGACGCCGTTTTCGAGATAAACATTGGACCCACCACGACCGATGGTGAAAAGTACACTAACAGCTTACGCCATGGTGTAGATTTGAAGAAGACCAGCTTATCGAAACTACGCATACCAATAAAAACAGGGTATTACGACAATGTCCCATCTCTAGTTAGTGTAATAAATGCTTTAGTAGCGCCTCAGGGGGAACTCGGTTATGACCGCGTAAAAAACAAAGTATTTCTGAAAGCAAAACCTAACATTTCAATGACCTTCCATGGAAAACTAGCCATTATTTTAGGATTGAAACCAGGCATCCCTATAGGAGATTCTATTCTGCAAAAAACAAACCCTGAAAAAACTAATTATGAAAAGGATATTGTAACATATGCAATGCATCAGTCGGACATACACGGTGGTTTCTATACTCTTTATATCTACACGGACATTATCCGTTACCAGTCCGTGGGTGATGCTTTTGTACCGCTCCTGGAGTGTGTACAAATAACAGGGGACAACAATAGCACAGTCAGTGTTCGATACGACAAACCCCACTACGCGTCTATCAACAAATTAGTCATCGCAGATATTGTTATAGAAGTGAAGGACGATCAGAACCAGCACGTCCCATTTTCTTACGGGAAAGTGTGCATCAAACTTCACTTCAGGCCTGTAAAACACTTTGTTTAAAATGGCATATTTCAACAATCACAATGTTGACCCTATGCGTTACGTTGCCTATTACCAGAATCAGGCAGGCAGCGGGCTCCCCGGGTATGCAGGAGGTGGAGTCATGTATGGGGCCGGTTTGGGGGGGATTTTTCGGGGGCTCTTTAGAATGGCTATACCCCTACTAAAACGAGGATTTAGCATAGCCAAGCCGCATCTTAAATCAGCTGCAAAAAACATACTAAGTGACGTTGTTAGTAACACGTTATCAAGATCTTTTAACAACAACTATGATGCTCAAGACGGATCCGGACTAATGGTAATGGCTCGCAAAAGAGCATCTAGGCCGCCAGGGGTGCGGAGGAGTGGCCAGAAGCAGAAGAAAACAAAACAACCTCCCAAGAAAACATCAGTTGTAAAACGCAAGCGCAAGGAGACAGCTAAGCGTACTGCTTCAAAAAGATCAAGGAGCTCTGTTAAAACAATATTTTAAATCATGGCGTTACTACACAACATGTCAGAAGAGTGTTTAAAGACTGAACTGGATCTGTTTACTGTACCACTAACTCAAACAGCAATTGAAAAAAACACTTATATAGAAGTTCCACCACTATCAGCGATATCCGACACATCTCCGCTGGAATTTTTTATTGCGGGGAATGGGGAGGATTACATAGATCTAAACAACACATTACTTTTTTTGCGCCTCAAAATCACTAATGCTGATGGGACGGATATTGCAGACGGAGATCCCGTAGGTCTTGTGAACTATCCTGGATCTACGATTTTTTCACAAGTGGATGTGTCGCTTGGAGATCGGCTTATATCACAGAGTTCTAGCACATACCGCTGTATGATAGAATGTCTTACCAATTATGGTAAAGACGCCCTTGAAACGCTTTTCTCAGCAGGGCTCTTTTACCTGGACACTGCGGGCCATATGGATGTGGCTGACCCGGCTGGGGGAAATCGCGGGCTGACAAAGAGAGCAGCCTTCACCAACACTAGTAATGTGGTCGAACTACTCGCGCCTGTTAACAGTGATATCTTCTTTCAGGAAAAACTATTACTTAATGGATTAGATCTTAAAATTAGAATGACTAGAGGTAAAGATTAATTCTGCCTGATGAGGAGCAACGCTACAGCCTATAAACTAAACATCCTGTCTGCGTCGCTATTTGTGAAAAAAGTGTCTGTGTCGCCAGCTGTGAGACTGGGGCATGCACAAGCTCTACTCTCAACCACAGCCAAATACCCCATCGACAGAGTGTGTCTGAAAAACTTCTCAATACCTGCAGGCTCACGTGTCTGCAATCAAGAAAACTTGTTCTTAGGAACTCTGCCAAAATCTCTGGTTCTAGCTATGGTTGATAATGATGCATTTGTGGGTGCCTATAATAAAAACCCATTTGCGTTTAAAAACTATGATTTAGAATTTCTGGCCATTTTTCTGGATGGGCAACAGTACCCAGCGAAGCCCCTGCAACCTGAATATAGCCGCGTTTCCACCGCAGGAACTTTCCCCAGGAACTAGGAACTTTGGGGTGGTACTCGGTGTGTTTACACCGCAGGAACCAGGGTCTAAATGAAGTTCCGGGTAAAAATTTCCCCCCCAGAAAGTCTCTGCTGGCGAGGTAGTACTTTTTCAGAGTTCAGGAACTTTCGGGGTGGGACTTGTGCGCTGAACATGCTGATTGGTTGAGCTCACGTCACATTTGATTGGTTGACTCCACACAGCATTTTATTTTAGCCGCCGTTTTTAAAAACCGCGCTTCCTGGCTTCGTGCAGTAAAGAGTTGTCGGGAAATTAATATGGAGTTTACCAAAAAATACGACCGCTGGACCGACGACGAGGTCCAGACTTTAATAAGCGTATTTGCGGAAGAAGAAATCCAGCGGGAACTGGAAACGGCAATCCGCAATGAAAAGGTATACCTGAAAATATCGAGTCGGTTATACGAGCTGGGCATTGTTCACACTGGAAAACAGTGCAGAGAGAAGTTAAAAAAATTAAAACAAGACTACAAAAAAGTCAAGGATCACAACAATAGAAGCGGATCCGATCGGCGTACTAACAAGTGGTTTGACCGCCTGGACGCGTTGTTGGGACACAGGCCGGCATTCTCTGGAGCAGCGGTGACAAAAGACTCGGCAATTGCATTTTTGGAATCCATTCATGATTCTGAGGACCAGTCGGTTGAAGGTAAATTATCACACCTCTACATGATATTGTCTTAAACTCTTTGCAGTGATAAAACAAACTAACTTTTTTCAACGTGTTTTTACAGATGAAATGAATGGCCCCAATGATGTGCAGGCAACAGAGACCAGCGTGTTTTCCCCTGCAATCACCAGTAGCCCTCGTCCCATGTCTTCCGCCGAAACACACACACGACGAGGTATTAAACAACGTTGTCTATTGATAAAAATATACTTCAAAACTAGGGGTGTAATAATATATCGTGCAACAATATATTGCAATACAAAAATGCAACAATACGTATCGTGGACAGTTCACCCAAAATAAAATTACTGTGTGAGAAAAAAATTCAGGTTTTTTAGTGTCAGTACTACATTAAAATTATGTTGATATTAATGTATAATCTAATGCAATGGGGGAATATTTGTGGGTCCTAATAATGCCAAACATCTACCAATGTTAAACATATTCGTCTAAAATAATTCAGTATTTTCAGCTTCAGAATGATGTTTATTCTGGTGTCACCATTGTCCTTGAGTTACAAGCACCAAGTCCAAGCATGGAGCATGATGGCAAAGTTTTAAATTTAATATTTTGTAATGAAAACACTTAAAATACGTATTTTATGGTTTTCAGGGTGGGCTTGTGTATTTATTGTCATGTGTTTCTCCACTTAGGGAAGAGGAAAAGGGATTGTGACTTTCTTGATGCGCTGAGGGACATGGAAGATTCTAACCGGACCGCCCTGCAGCTTGGACAAGAACAGCGTGACAAATATATGCAGCTGTTACTTGAGAGCCAGGCTGAGGAAAGAGAGATGAGGAGGCAGGAGTTGGCGTTCCTGCAGTCGGAAGCTGAAGAAAGCAGACGGCAGCAGAGGGACTTTCAGGCCGGGTTTCTGTCTGTTCTTGGACAGTTTGCCCAGTCATTCAAAAAGTAGCCACTGAACTCTGAGATTGCACTTTAAATTGAACATTTGCATTTTTTGTTTTTATTTGCACAATTCTAATTTTTATGAGGGCCAGGTTTCTGTCTGTTCTTGGACAGTTTGCCCAGTCATTCAAAAAGTAGCCACTTGAACTCTGAGATTGCACTTTAAATTGAACATTTGCATTTTTTATTTTCTTTGCACAATTCTAATTTTTATATATTGTTTGCATTCCTGCAGAGGGCCAGGTTTCTGTCTGTTCTTGGACAGTTTGCCCAGTTGTTCAAAAATACATTTGTATTTGTTTTTCTTTACACAATATATTACTGTTCTCGTAATTTATTTCTTTTCACATGATTGTATTTTAAAATATATATATTTAGTAAGCAGTACTTGCCTTGTGTTAAATAAAGTTTGTAAAATGTCACTTTGAGATCAAGTGCCTTTTCATCTCAATGGTAATTTTAGCTCTTACATAAGGTCTTGAAGTGCTGGTTAGATGTAAAACATTTCTGGTGAAAGTGCACAGGTTAAAATAAGCAAAGTGTAGGTAATTTAAGTCACTCATGAAATTACATTTTATATTTGACAGCCAAATATACAGGTGAAACTCAAATTTAGAAGTATTGTGCAAAGTTGTTTCAGTAATTCAACTTAAAGGTGAAACTCGTATATGGACTCATTACATGCAAGGTGTATTACATTTTCAAGCCTGTTATAATTATGACTATATGTCATACAGCTTATGAAAACTTCACATTTATTCTAATTTTGAATTTGATTTTCATAGCTGAAATATCTCACTTTGCATTTAAGTTGAATTACTGAAATAAAGTTTTGCATGTTATTCTAATTTTCAAGTTTCACCTGTAAACAGAAGGTGATAACAGAATAAATTAAAACCAAAGCATGATTTAGAAGTAATCATTTTTATTTACAAAAAAAAAGTGTTACACAGCAAAAACAATGTACAACAGGTGTATACAGCCTAAAAAAGTGCATTACAGCACCTGAAGGTTATTTTTCCCTTACCAAAAAAAAAAAACTTTATGGTGTGTAGCCAGTGATAGTGCAGTTTCCTACACTGTAGTCAAAAACTTCATTAGGCCTGTACGTGCATTAAGACCCTCGGCCTCTACAGTGGATGACAGTGCCCCGTCAGGCTGGTTGAATGTACCCGTAGTCCATTCTTCTCTGAACTCATCACCATTCATTTCACAGAGGTTATGCAGAACACAACATGCGACCACCAGGGATTTGACCTTGTGTGTATTGCAGTCATTTCGTTTTAGCAAACACCTCCATCTGCCCTTTAGTCTGCCAAAAGCATTCTCAACCACCACCCTGGCTCTGCTTGTTTTATGGTTGTACACAAGTTGTTGGGGTGTCAGTCGTCCGTTGTCGGTGAAAGGTTTCATCAGCCAGCTCTTCAAAGAATAGGCTGCATCACCAAGGACATAGTACCCCACATCATGTCCACAAATGTTCTTGGTTACATCAGGTAGTAACAAACCCCGATCCACTAGGTCCCACAATCCTGACAAACGTAGCACTCTGGCATCATGCAGGCTCCCTGGCGCTCCTAAAAAAACATTCCAAAAGAGGCCTCTTCCGTCCACAACAGCCTGTAGGATGATCGAATGCCAGCCCTTCCGGTTGAAGTACTCTGTGTGGTACTCCTCTGGTCCAAGAATGGGGATGTGTGATCCATCAATTGCACCTACACACTGTGGCAAACCCCATCTGCACTCAAAATACGTCGCCATTTCTTTCAACTTTTCACTGTTTGGTAACTGGATAACTTCTTGCATGAGTACCTTCTCAACAGATGAGCAGAAATCGTGAACACAGTGACACACAGTAGCAACTCCGACTCCAAATAAATGAGAGATGCTTCTATACTCAGAGTTGGTCGCAAGTTTCCACAGTGCAATGGCGATTCTTTTTTGAATGGGTACACAATGTCGGTAGTTTGTGTCATGTCTCTCCAGTTGGGGTTGCAATCGACGACAGAGGTACAGAAAAGTATCCTTAGACATCCGGAAATTCTTTATCCACTGTGCTTCGGTGAAAGTTGGAACCACGCTGTCCCACCATTCTGTTGTTCTAGTGTGCATCCAAACCGATCGCGAAACACGACGCATTCGATAGTACTCCCATATCTAAAACACACAAAAGTTGCAAAAAATAAGTTGATGTAATCGATAATAACATTATTCACAACTCTTGTTAATTTTGGTGGATTAATTTCTTACCAATCTTGTTCTTTCTGCCCGATGGCGCGCATTCGTCCCATCCATCTCACGGTCAATGTCCACTATAGCTGATAACAAACGTTGTCTACTTTTATATCTAGCATTACGAGCTTTCTGAATACGCTTTAGTATTAATGCTCGTCTCTTTTCTGCCGTTTTGTTAATTACCTCGTTAGTAAACCAATAGATCGCACACAAAAGCAGCACAGCTTGAATATCCTCCATACTCAAAACAAACGCGTCGCGCAGACTGGGAGGGAGGAGCAGTCGCACGCAGTTCAACGTCACCAGACTAATTTACATAATCTTCCCGGTACTTTAGACCGCGGTGTAAACGCAGTAGGCAACCGGTCTGGGGCAAAAAAAAGTTCCTATGAAAAAAGTTCCTGGGACAAATAGTTCCTGGTAATTGCGGTGGAAACGCGGCTTATGAAAATGGTTCTGCAGTGCGGGAGTTTTACCAGCTAGCGCTGGCTTCTGGAAGGCATCTTAAAAACCAACCTCTATGTATCGATAGAGAGGATTTTCTGCACGGCTATACACTCTATGCGTTCAATTTCACACCAGATCAGGAGTGTAGCCAGCACGTATCGCTTATCAAAAGTGGCAATATTAGACTAGAAGCCCGTTTTAGACAGCCGCTACCACGTACGATTAACTTAATTGTTTATGCATTGTTTGATAGTTTGATTGAAGTGTCAAATCGCCGACAGGTCCTGGTTGATTACTACTAATACATTCAAATGAACACTGTACAGCTTACGGCTGTCATGGATAAGGTTTCATGCGATACTTATTTTCTCGGAGTTCTACCATGTGACTACCTACCAAAAACCCCTTTAAGAAAACTACCAGCAATGGTTTTGATCAATACACATCCTTCAGGACTCCCAGGGGAACACTGGTTGGCTATCTACATAAATGAGGATGGTGTAGGATGTTTTTTCGACAGCTTCGGTAATAAACCAGATTATCATGGTTTTCCGCCGATTATCAAAAACTTTTTAAAGCTCAACTCTAGTCAAGTACTACATTCAACTGTGCAAGTCCAAGATTTTTCATCAGATACATGTGGACAACATTGTGTGTTCTTTCTCTACCACATGGCAAAGGGATTTGATTATGATTATGTGATGAAATTGTATACCAACGATTTTATTAAAAATGACAAAAAGGTGTCAGCATTTGTGAGAAAACTAAAACAAGCACCATGTAGTGAAAATGTTTTCAAATGTGTTCAGTGTGTACAAATGGGTGAAATGTTCATGTCTCATGCTTAATATTTTAATAAAAACAACTAAAGAACGGAATTTTGTTTCTTTATCCCCTACTTTTATTACACATACATCACATCATAAGTTCTCAAAAAAAAAGAGAGAAATTGAGAACACAATACATACAAACTGTTAGTTTAAAAACTTAACCACCGACTCGGGTCTTTCTGTTTCTTACTCCTCTTAGATGATCCTGTTATAGACGTGGTCGATTTGGTTTTGAAAGAGTTAATTGCATGTCTGACATTGTGGTTTGGTACCACAGAGTATGGCAAATTTAAACTAGCAAAAGCCTCCAGAAATTCACGCCAGCCGCCAGGTCTCCGCTCGTCAACAATCTTTTGTGGAGCCGTGACGCTTTTAACTAAGTCAAGCATGTGTGAACCAGGGATTGTTCTGCCTTTAAACACAAACTCTCCCGACTCAGTCCATGAAGTAACATCTTTAGTTTTAGACATTTTATCTAAAATGTAACGAACATTTTTCACACTCCTCTGTGGAATTATTTTTTAAAATCTCATCTGCAAAATCACCTAAATCGTCATGGGCACGCGCATGGCCTGGTGCGGGTGGGTCTTCTTTTTCAACATTACTAGGCTGTGGTAGCCTTAATGTTAATGTACCGGATTCTCTATCCCCTTGTCTAGTGAGTGTTAAAAACCGCTGCAAAACACCTGTGTACATCTTAGCTTTTTCATTGTGATCCAGATCAGACCTGTGCAAAATATTTCTTATAGTCATGTCCAGGTCATTCTCCACAACCTGTTGTATAGACTCACGGGTGTTAGAGGATTTCAGCTTATCCAACTGGTGTTGCGGTACTAAAAACATCTTCTCGGCATACTCCATCACCAAACTTATTTAGATGTAACCAAACTGGTTATAAACGGGATTGCCGCACTTAGCAAAGGTAGTAGAAATCCTCCTTGTTGGTTGATTAACCGTCTTTTACGTCTAACTCCAACCTTTTTATCTGCAACAATTTTGATCTCACTTCTTCTTCTCTTCAGTTTCTGATATTGCTGTGGTGTTAGCGGAATATTACCGTGGACTACGTTAAGAGCTACTTCACACAATGTCACAATGAGTTCGTCTGCAGCCGCCTCTAAAATAACGCGTCTTTGTTTAGGCGTGGCTTTTAATAACAATTTTAAAAGAGGTAGATTTCTTAAAAGTCTTGCAGACATTTTCAAATCTCTCTGTCAATGTTTTCTTTTCTGAATGTACACAACTGGATGTTGTGACAGAATATCTGTTCTGAGACGGTACTGTTCTGGTGTTTTTGCTTTAAAGTCAATCAATAGATACCCGAAAGGGGTGCTGGTAGCATTTTCATAACACTCCATAAAGTATTTTGTGTTCCTGGGGTACATCTGCCGCGCTAAGACATTAATTTGGGTATTGTCTCTAGGGTTTTTAAACAATACCAAATAATTAGTGTTCAAACTGATAGTCTTACTGGATTTACCTTGAAAAAATAAGTTTTGTACGATATATATTGCACTCAAGCTTCTATGGTGCACATAGTTGGTAAACAAACGTTCAACTTCTGAATTGCTGCTAGCATCTTTCATAACATCATCCAATATCACAAAATTGGTCTTGTTGGTGGGAAACAAGCGATCATCATTCAGAGTCTGCGGTATACCTTCAATAAATTTAATATCATACAGTTTCAACAATTCATCATACATAGGTTGCCAGCAGTCATAAATGTACACAATGTTTTCAATTTTTTTAGAAATTACACTTTTAGCATTCTCCAACAACTTTTTTACAAAAAATGTTTTTCCTGAGCTAGAAGGACCGCTTAACACACATGAAAAAGGATGTTGTAATCTAAAATCAAAACCATCCGGGTCTACCACACCCCGGTGCCCAAAAACGTTGTCAGTAGC